CGCCCCCCGCTTCCCCCGCCTGACCGCCCCCCCCCCCCTGAAGGTTGGTCTCCAGTACGACATTCGGACGTTCGTCAACATGATCCTTGGGTTCGCGAGAGAGGACAGGTACAAGGACGTGTTGGTGATGTTCCAAGGCCTTGAGAGCCTCATGTCGGCCAATTCAAGAGACGGCGTCGTCGTGCAGCCCAGCAGCCAGACCGGCTATCGCAACTGCTACCACGAGACCCTCAAGGGTTGCGAGGTGCGGTGTAACCGACTCCCTGCAGTGATTTCGGACCATACCATATATGTACCATAGGTAGACTCCTTGCAGTGTACCGGGTGTATTTCGAGGGTAGTATGGCGTTTGTTGTTTCGAGGCATTTGTGCGCCGGGTTCGGATTTGATGGTGTTTTCCGGTTGGAGCCTGGCAATACATAGCGCCTGAGTCGACGAAAAGTGTTGGTGTTGCGAGGGCGATTCCAAGAACAATGTTCCATGTCCCACACGAGTCAAACCAAGAGCAGGCTTGGGGAAAGTCTTGTACTTCGAACAATGCGAGAGAACGATGTCGTCGAGAGTGGGCTTGACGATGATCGGTCGACAGCGTGAGAGACTGCTGTCAAGCCGTCTAAAGCTTGCACGTATTGCAGCTGACACTATTGCTATATAACTGCTGCAAATGAACAATCGTTTTTTTGTGTTTGTGTCTCTTCTTTTTCGTGTCAGGTCGAGGGTAACTGGCAAATGGCCCGGCGGATTCTCAAGTCCATGCACCTCCAGTCCATGGATGTGGATGTCGTGGCGTACGGAGCGGCCATAGGCGCTTGCGGTCGGAAGGGCAGGTAACCATATGAAGTGGGGAGCGGACATTTGATGAGAGAAGGGGGTAGAGATGACGTGATGAGCTATTACAGCGGGCTGAGTACTTCTGATAGCGAAACTCAAAATTTACTGATTTTTATGGCCCCTTTTGTCTCCGACGCCGGGAAGGTTAGCACTGTCACTTTCAACCAATCAATATGTGTGTTCACTACCTCCCCTTGCCTTTGCAAAGTGCCCGTCTCTGTGGATGGTGCGGTGTTGCTTATCGGTACGTTGGCACCGTCGTTCCGTTTTCTAGCGATTTTTTCTTTGTGTTTTTTGCTGATAACATCCATGAGTTTGCTTTGCTTGTTTGTTTCTGATGATTTCATTATTTCATGATTGTTGTTTTTTTTTTGTCTTCTTTTTTTTTGTTCGGCAGGTGGAAGGAGGCCCTCGAGATTCTGAGGGAAATGGAGGCCAGGGATGACGTCTCGGTGAGTAAGATGATGGATGCTGATGGATGCTGATGGATGCTGACACGCTCTCATTGGCGCTACATTTTGTGCGTGCATATCGTGTGTAGACTATGGGTTTTCTTCCCCTCGGGCACCCAGTCTTGTCTTGCCTTCTCCGTACCATCTAGCAAAGCCGCGACCAACGAGCTGAGTTGCATCTTTCACGAACAAGAACTTGCTGGGCATTAACTTGGGGGTAGGCCGACAACGGGCAGAACAGATGGAACGAAACACACTCACCCTCATACCAAAAAACACCGACACACACCTCCAGGAGTAACACACCAGACAAGCAGTGTCCTCTCGTAACAGTCGAGGAAAAATGCAGGCCGGGTACACGCGAAGGCTTCTCGTGCACCCCCTTTCCCTCCCAAGGATGGTGACCAGCTGCTGGTTCATCCTTGTGGAATGTAGCCTTGGGCTTCCGGCGAAAGCCCGGCACACCGCTCCGTCCCGGCATTGGAGGGGTGCGAGGTCAAAGATCGAACTACTACGGCATGCGTTTGCATGAATACCTCCAACAAGCTCAACACAACAACCGAACCTCCACGTTATGGGCACATGCCGCAGCCGAACGTGATCTGCTTCAGCTCGGCGATCACCGCCTGCGAGAAGGGCGGGGAGTGGCGGAAGGCTCTGCACCTGCTGCTCAAGATGATCAACTCGGGGATTGAGCCGGACACCATCGCCTACAACGCTTCTATCAGCGCCAGGTCAGCGCCAAAGTTTTTTGAAAAAAATTATGTAGGGTACAACGCGAGTACGGACAGAAGAAGGTACTGCGTAGAGAGATCTGAACGGTTTTCAATGCGAAGAACATACAACGATGTTGCTGCTGTCCTGTCATTTGCATTTGGCCATGCATGCCCGTCGATCTTGTTGTTCTGTCATTTTAGAGTTCGGACATGCATGCTCGTCGATCTTGTTGTTGTTTTGTCATTTACGTTTTTGGCCGTGCACGCTCGAACCTGCGTCGCCGCTTGCTCTGATCTACATGTACGCGGACGAGTCCGGTATTGCCCTGGTATGGAATTGCTTTGGGCGAGGTTTGTCGCCAAATAAGTATTTGAGCTGCCTCTTTCTTCCCAATACAGTAGAGTGTGAGCACGGCGGGCGAGCTCGTGTGCCGTCACGCCTTGCGCGTGGGAATGCAGATTTCAAGGAACCTTGGAAATCGTGAAGTGTCGAGAGACCGCCATGCATGCCCCGTCACGTTATAACCTTTTTGATGCTGCGGAACCCAACCGACCCCCCCCCATCCACTACCTTTCTTTGACCCATACCCTAGTAGCGCGATCAACCTGCCATGTTCTAGTTTACGGAAAGTTTGGGATAATCTTTACCCCGTTTTCTTCCATCCTTTCATGGGAATCCGCGTAGCTTTGGTGTCGGCTTTGTTGTCGGCAGCAAGCGTGTTTGCCTGGGTGGGTGCTCTGTGCGTTGGAAAGGCTACCGAGAGAGGAACCATTCTGCCGGCACTTCCCCTCTTTTACATGTGCATGCCTACCACGCGCCCTTGAAAAAAAGTGCCAACTGCGGCGAGTGGCAGATGGCGCTGAAGCTGTTCGACAGTCTCTTCAAGGCGGGCCTCATCCCAGATGCTAGGACGTACAGTGCGGTCATGATCGCGTGCTTCAAGGGGCACCAGGTCAGTGTCGATACCATATGCTTCATATTTTTTTTCGGTACAGGTATGTAGGTCGATGTGCGAGCGAGTGACAGCGTTTTGACTGCGTGCCGTTGTTTCGAGTGTTTGTTGGTATGTTTGCCCTGCTTCCGGCGCCAATTTTCTGCTTTTCGTGACACTTTGATTTTTTTTTTGTGTGCTGAAATTTCGTAACAACACTCACCCTGTTCTTTCGACGCCCCCCTCAACCTGCGCACTGGACAACGAAAAACAACGTCGACGACGACAACAGTGGCAGAAGGCGATGGAGCTGTTCCTGCGGATGGTGAGCGAGGGCAAGCTGCCCAACAAGCAGACGATCAACATCCTCATGGAGCTCCTGGACGAGGCGGGACAATACTCCAAGGTTTGTGCATGCATATATGTTTTTATTTTTAGCATCGGCTGCGCTAGCTAACCGGCTGATCAATGATGAAAATACGTCAGTCTCAGTGCGGTTGAAAACACACATTGTATCGAAATATTAAGTATGTGTATGAAGTGTCTGTGTGTGCTGCGTGTGCGACAGCCACACATGCGGCAGACAACGACACAGCAGCTGCTGTTCTACTTTCATTCTGCCTGCCTACAGTATCTCCGAAAATATGTCCGGATGGTTCGACGTGTCTGCGGTTAGCGGGAGGAGGACCGGTATGATGTACGGTACGGGTTTCCCGTGCCTTGACTGGGCTTGTGATGCGTGTCTCACCCACCTTGGCAAACCAAAACCCGGCAGATGATGGAGGAATCCTCCTCGTACCGTCCGGCAAGTTGATGAGGCTCAAGCCTCCGCCTTCACCCCCCATACGCCCGTCCGGTAACTGACCACACTGCTATTACATACGGTAGATGCTTTCGGAAGCGTGAGGACCCAGCGTTCGACCCTCACCTCGCTCATGTCGCCTAACCCCCCTCCTCCCGTCCGGAGGCTTTTTTGGGTAACCATTAATGGTGGTCGAGTAAATATGTTGTGCGGGTTCGAGAACCCTCACTCCGCGCAAGGGGGATGATCGCACCACGTTGAGTTAAATTGGTCAAGCACCCTCCCGGCAGTTACACAGTGATTACAACTGCCTCAGGAAGTGAANGCCTGGTCCGGTGAGAACCCGGCGTGCTCCGTCCCGGCTTTGTAGGGATGCGAGGTCAATGGTCTGACGACTACGGCATGCACGACTATGAGTACCCCCCCCCCGCCCCACCA